GTGGCACACAAAGAAAGGCTGTCAGAGCTGATTGGCAATATCAGGGGCAAACAACAGAGACCATCACAGACAAGGAGGAAGGCGAAAGCAAGACGTGAGCAGAAGCTGAGGGCAGAGGAAGTGTCTGCGCTTCAAAGACAGGGGTGAGAAGAGTGTGATTTGTTTTGCTTTGTGCCTTGTGAGTTTCATTACTCGTGGCCTGCAAAACAATGACCACAGTACTTTTGCCTGCTGTTTGGCTCAGACAAATTTTGAAAAGGAAACTAACTTGGAAAATTGTGTTAGACTATTTAAAATTCTTTAAAAAAGTTCAAGTATCTGTACATAGACTGAAGTTTCTGAGAAAATGTCTGAAAAACGATCTAATACCGGACTTTTTGAAGTTTAGGGTCCCCGAGAACGGGGTTTTTTCGGACCAAGCTGTGCATAATTTTCAATTGAAACTACTAAGGACTGAAACTTCTAGGGCAAATGAGGATAGGAAAAGGTACGAGGAGATGCTAAGGAAAGCAAGATCACTGGTGCAAAAAGAAATTGACAAACAGTGGTGGGCATCCATTTTCCGATTCGTGAGGCGGCAAGTTGAGGCAAGCTTAAAGACAACATCAGAAAACCATAGAAAAAAGTTAGAAAAACTGTCCGAGAGACAAGTTAAACCTCTTGGGGGGAGAAATGAGCGATCAGTTAGGGTACTTGATAATATTGAACTGCCTGAATGGGTATATGAAGTGCTATCAATGGGCCCCAAGCATCCAATTAGAGACAAATTTAACGAAACACATTTTTTGGCGGATATCGACAGTTTCCTCTCACAATTGAAAAATCAAAAAACATCTGGTGAAACGTTATGTGAAATAGAAGCCGCGGCAAAGGCATATGCAAAAAACGTACGGCAAACCCCAAGAGACAAAGCCGTTGAAAAAACGAGGAAATATCTCAAAGATAATGGGTTGCTGGCTGTGCCTTTTGATAAGGGGGTTGGTTTTTGCATAATGAGGAAACAAACATATGAATCAAAGCTGGAATCCTTGTTGCAATCTGCTCAGTTTGTGAAAAAAGATGCAACCACTGATGAGGTGATACTGAAAATTGAGAAAGAACTTAACAAAGAGTTACTAGCCATGAACAAAAGAGACGAGATAAGTGATCAGTTATATTCTAAGATACGATCAACAGGGGGGCAACCCGCCCGTTTGTACGGTTTAGCTAAGGTACACAAGGATGAGACACCCCTACGACCTGTACTATCACTTCCCGGCAGCTCGTATGAGAATCTTAACAAAATGCTTGCGAAGTTTTTTGACAACATCGATGGAGCAAATATAGAAACCAATACTAAAGAGGCTAGAGAAAAAATAGAAAACATTGCTCTAGATCCGGATGAAACCATAATATCTCTTGATGTGAAAAGTTTGTACACCAACGTTCCCCTGAAGGAGGCAATTGAAATTGCTTTACAGAAGCTGTACAGCCAGGAGTCTCCTCCTGAAATTCAAAGAGCAACCATGAAAAGGCTTTTGAATATGGCGGTCAGCAAAGTATATTTCAAGTGTAATGATTCATGGTATGTACAAGTTGATGGTTTAGCAATGGGAGCGTCCCTCGCTGTAATTCTGGCAAACTTATGGCTGAAAGAATACGAATTTGCTCTACGACAACAAATACCGGTGGGAACGGGGGTACAGCAAATTAATGACAAAAACGGCTTGTGCCCATGTTGCAGCAGGAAAGTCACATATAGATCAAAGGGGGTTGAATGCGAGAGTTGCCGAAACTGGTATCATCTAAAATGCGGAAAAATATCCGATGACGTATACGCATCAATAACCGAGATAGTCTGGTACTGTGAAAGCTGCTGCCGAGCTAAGAACAAGGAGAAGGATACTCCCCAGGTGAAATTGTTCCTCAGGTATGTCTTCTCGATGCCGCCAATTCTCTTCATCCAAATTTGCAGTTCACTCTAGAGAAAACTAATTCGGAGGGGAATTTGCCGTTCCTGGATTTGAACATAAATATATCGCAGGATAGGCGTGTAACTTGCAGTTGGTATCAAAAACCAACAGATACAGGGACTATACTGAACTATAGAAGCTGCGCCCCAACTCAGTATAAGCGTAGTGTTATCCAAGGCACTGTACACAGGGTTTTTAGGAGTACATCTAGCTGGGAGCAATTTGATAAGGCTATGGAAACTAATAGGGCGCAATGGCTGACAAATCAGTACCCTGAAAATTGGTCCGCAAAGGTGGCTTCAGACGCCTTGTGCAAGATCATCGAGGGTAAAGGCAAGCCCCTGGATAGTGACAGGGGTTTGTCAGTTCAATCACCAAAGGATGAAAAGCCCCCAATGCTGATGGTGCAATATAGAGGTAACCAGAGCCAATATTTTGCTAACAGGTTACGAAAATTAACGAACGTTCAAGTGGTTTTCACCACAAGAAAACTACAATCATGTTTACCATCACTGAAGTCAGCATTTTCTAATGACCTCAAGTCAAGAGTGGTTTATAAACTGTCATGTAGTGGATGCACTTCCACCTATGTCGGACAAACTGTTCGACATTTGACCACTAGAATTGAGGAACATAGGAAAGCAGACTCACCGGTAGGCCTCCACCTTCAGCAATGCCAACTTGAGGGAAATAGCGCAGATCTTAGTTGGGAAATTATAGATAGGTCAAACAACCAAACAAAATTGCTAACACTAGAGGCAATACATATCAGGAAAGAGAAACCGGGCTTGAACACGCGCGATGAGTTTAGGAGCAGGGAGTTAACACTGAAAATTTAGTCCCAAAATATTTTTGGTTTTTTATTCAAAACGTACATGTCTAAATCGAAATTATGACTCAGAAACTTCCAGACAAATTAATTTTAAAATGTTTAATTAATTTTAGAGGTTAAAAGTATTTTAATCTTAATAGTAATTTAGAGGTCAACTGTGATTGGCTAATTTTTTATCATGATGGTTTAGAACCAAATTGTATGTGATTTATTGTAAATAACATTTGTAAATTGATGTTTTATCGTCATTTAGAGTAGTTTATTGTAAAAATCCTGACGATGCACATAGTTGCGAAAACGTTTGAAATTTACTTTTTAGCAAAAATTTCTTCATTATTAATATTATTATTGAGAAATACAAAACTGAAGTTTTACCAAATCGATGCGGTCAAGCAGTTTTACCGCAGCGGAGCACACTTGTTTTAAACCACTTTTTTAAAATTTAGAACAAAAAAAAATTTCGACGCTTTGAATACTTTTTTCAATTTTTGGCGTTGTGAATAGCTTTTTAATTTTTGGAGTTGTGAATAGGAACTGGCTGAATAACTTTTAATTTGTCTTATACATTTTTTGAGTTTTGTTCGCTCTGTTGTTTGTCCGTTTTTTTCGGCATTATATGTTTTGATCTATGAAAAATTGGCTGTATCACAAATTTCTCGCTCTACAAGGTTGGCCTCGTTTCTGATCATTTTACACCTTCGTTGAATTTTCCTTTGCTACTACTACTACACATACCCCGGGGCACCCCCCTCCGCCTAACATGAGTAAAAAAAAATTGAGTCTCTCCATAGCAGTATTTTTCCCATTTGGTTGAGGACAAGGGCTCGGGTTATAGTTTGCAGCGGCAATAATGGAAAAGAACCAAATTTTCGTCATTTCGACAACAATTCAAAATGCTCTTTTTAGCCGAAGCACTCCATGAAATGAAGCAATATGAGAAAGCTGTGTTGGTTTGAAGAAAGCATTGCAATTTAACAAGTGCTCGCTGCGAAACCTTCGCTCTAAGACTGAACACAAAAATGACGAGGACGATCTACCTTGCTCTTCAGAAACAAATATGGAAGAAAGATTCAAAAACTCAAAAAATGAAGATAACAGTTCAAATTTGATGTTGGGATCACATTTCTATTTCAAATTAGCTCAAATACAAATTGCGAGACAGAATTATTCAGCTGCAATGCAATCTCTACTTACAATACCCGCTGAATCTCGAAGTTTGAACGTGCAAGTTATGATTTGAAGAAACTAAACTTTAACAACTGAAACACGAACGTTGAACCTCCCAATCACTGGGTTTTATGCGAACCCTTGGATTAGTCCTAAATCCTTTGTTATTATTATTATTATTATTATTAATATTATTATTGAGAAATACAAAACGGAAGTTTTACCAAATCGATGCGGTCAAGCAGTTTTACCGCAGCGGAGCACAAAACTTGAACGAATACTGGACTGTGATGCCGGAAATTGGCCGCAGTTAATTATTTTCAAACCACTTTTTTTATAATTTAGAACAAAAAAAAATTTCGACGCTTTGAATACTTTTTTCAATTTTTGGCGTTGTGAATAGCTTTTTAATTTTTGGAGTTGTGAATACGAACTGGCTGAATAACTTTTAATTTGTCTTATACATTTTTTGAGTTTTGTTCACTCTGTTGTTTGTCCGTTTTTTTCGGCATTATATGTTTTGATCTATGAAAAATTGGCTCAGTAGCCGCATATTGTTTAATTTGACCTGCAATTTTTTTGTATGTGTGCTTTGAGGTTGAGGGGGACTTCATAAATTTTTAAAAATTTTATTCGACCTAAAGGGTTTCTGCTAATGAATTTTTGGCTGTATTGCAACTTGGTACGTTTTTAATGCTTATTTTTTATTCTTTTTTTTGCGGCACGTTTGTTTCAAAACTAGTTTTCATTTTGACAGATCTAGTTTTTGGACATACTCGGTTTTTTTTGTTTTTTTTTGGTATCGCAATTGGTGCGAATCTCAGCTTCCTTCATGTAATTATTTAATATATAATCAGTTTTCAGGTATATTAATCTGTTCAAAGCATCGGAGGTCAGTTGCACGCTAGTAGTTTTTTGTTCGAAAATTTGGTATTGCAATAAGAATATTTACAAAAATTTACAAAATATTTTATCCGAGCCCTAGTGAGAACCTTCAACCACTCAAAAGTCTATACTCCTACTACCATTGCTACTTAGAATGTGCTTTCAGATACCATGGAAGAGTCAATGCCGAAGCAGGGTACAACGGAATTGCTTCTGTACAAAAAGCTTCGCCAATTGCATGAAGCAGGACTGTCAGAAAGCGTTGATTTGTTTGTAACAATGTGTCAAAGCAAGCTGTCACAAAATCACATGTATCACAAATTTCTCGCTCTACAAGGTTGGCCTCGTTTCTGATCATTTTACACCTTCGTTGAATTTTCCTTTGCTACTACTACTACACATACCCCGGGGCACCCCCCCTCCGCCTAACATGAGTAAAAAAAATTGAGTCTCTCCATAGCAGTATTTTTCCCATTTGGTTGAGGATAAGGGCTCGGGTTATAGTTTGCAGCGGCAATAATGGAAAAGAACCAAATTTTCGTCATTTCGACAACAATTCAAAATGCTCTTTTTAGCCGAAGCACTCCATGAAATGAAGCAATATGAGAAAGCTGAGTTGGTTTGCAAGAAAGCATTGCAATTTAACAAGTGCTCGCTGCGAAACCTTCGCTCTAAGACTGAACACAAAAATGACGAGGACGATCTACCTTGCTCTTCAGAAACAAATATGGAAGAAAGATTCAAAAACTCAAAAAATGAAGATAACAGTTCAAGTTTGATGTTGGGATCACATTTCTATTTCAAATTAGCTCAAATACAAATTGCGAGACAGAATTATTCAGCTGCAATGCAATCTCTACTTACAATACCCGCTGAATCTCGAAGTTTGAACGTGCAAGTTATGATTTTACAAGTTATGTCCAAGCAGAATTCCGGTCTGCTGACAAACGGAGGAGTTTCTAGATCAGAAGCGCTTTCTGACTTGTTGGAGTTTCTAAAGCTGTGGCCATTCGCTTTCTCTTTAATTACATCATACTTAAGAGAAATAGCTCCTATAGGATCTGAATTATGGAAAGAGCTGACCATTACAGTTGAAAAAGCTTTAAATGATCTCAAACTGAATTCAGTTTATACGGATTGGGTCGTTAATTGGGTTAAGTTACTAGCCATGGATTTCATGATACCCAGTCCGCGATACTTAACTCAATTACAAGAAGTAACTACAGGTATTCAAACATCACTAGGCGTTACACCTGCCCCTCTCTTAGTTGCAATAGCTACTTGCCAGTACCATTCGGGTCAATATGAACATGCACGAGCTAATTTCACAGAAGCAAGAAGGAAAGATCCCTTTATTTTGACTGGTATGACGAAATATTGTCATCTGTTGTTTATGGTTAAGAATACACATATGCTGGACGTTGTTGCAACAAAGCTCATGTCTATTGCACCTGAAAGCGTAGAAGCTTTGATAGCTCTAGCGTAAGTTAGAATATTTTTTCGTGTACTTTTAAAACTATCACTGCAATTTATAAACCAGATTCGACATTTCATCTCACCCGTTTATTGATTATGAAGACTAACTATTTTCTCGGACACCATATGCCATTGTTAGCTATATTTCATATTTCTTCTATTTAAGCTACTACTGTCTGGCTGTAGTCCACACAACCCATCCAGAGTCTCTCTCAAACAACACCATTCAAAAAGTGAGCCGAGTGTTGTACATTGCACATAAGGCCCTTTTAGCTGACAGCAGATGCATGGAGGCGCTGCTGCTCAAGGCTAGAGCCCTGTGGACCAAAGAGATCAATCGGCCAAATGAAGCACTTGACCACTATAGGGTGAGTATTTACAAAAGCGAGTGTTTGTTATATATTTCGCTTGCGAGATGAAGTGAGATATGTAACAATCGGGTACTAGACTTTTTCCTCTAAATAACTTTTCTTTAGTAAGTTAGTAAAAAATGAACTTGCTTTATTATTGAATGTGAACAATTTGCTGGAGCCTCCTCACCAGGCCTGGAGGTAACGCGGGAGCCTTGTCACTCTAAGACCTGGAGTTGGATCCCGGTCGAACCTTATTTTTTCAGTTTATATGAAACTGAATTTTTTTGGGAACAATTGAAATTTCGGACTTTTGTTTGTGTGCTCATTTTTTGTCGGCTTAATCTCCAAAGCATTGTCTTTTGTGAGTTGAACAATTTTTTACCATAAGTGACAGGCGTTCCGTTAATTAGATTTACCAAAACGGATTTGGGTTGTTTTTATTGGCTTAGTCACCTTTTTTGCGCATAGTTTAAACAACAATTTCTTGTTTTCGGCTTAGCAGGTGGCTACCCAAGTTTTGTCTGGAATTGGAGTTTTCTTCCGATGTACTGATTTCTGTGTAGTTTTTGTTTGCTAGCTCGCAATGCTATGATTGCATGGTATTACAAGAGTTGCAAACCTCCAATTCGCCGCTGCATTAAATGCAATTGCATTGCGCGGTAAAAGTTGAGATCTTGTAGTTAATGTGTGGCATGGGTCCAGCATTCGTTTCAGCGCGCTGTCAGGTTCTTTTGTTGAGGCATTGGAAAGAACCTTCTTTTCAAATAAGCTTTGATTATTTTTTAAATTAATTGTTTCACGCTTCTGTATGCTAGGTTGCGTTTTTTTTGGCGTTCGCTCCCGCCTCAAAATTAGTACATCATGGCGCCCAATGCGCCTTTAGAAAAAAATGTAAGGTCTTTCAGCCAAAAATGTGACGTTTTTTGCTGCTTTAATGTGATGTTTTTGTTGCTTGTTTGCGAAATGCAGCTTGGCCTCTGTCATTAAAGTTTCGTGGACCCTATTGGCAGCCAATAAACGATTTTTTTTTGGGATAATCTAATGCAATTGAGCGTGGAATAATTGAATTGTCTCTTTTGAATTTTCTCGCTCTCTTATTGACTGATTAATAAAACAAGCAAAGCTTGTGTGATATTATGAGCTTTTTTTTCCATGAAAGTGTTCATTTTGACCAATAACCAGCTATTACGTACAGCCAACGCTAAGGATATTAACGCAGACTATTATATTACAAATAGCACTTAAGCTTCAAGGTATCACGGATCTGTAGCGTAGAGGTAGGGAAAGAGACTCGCAACAAAATAAGAGGGTTCGAACCTGGGCAGGGTTAGATGTTTTTAATGAACTTCTTCATATACTAGTTAAAATGGGTCCGCTCTATGAATTGAGGCATGTTAGTTGGTAATTTTTTTTTCAAAATGGACTGGTACTGCTAATGCTTCATAATTGGCGTGCTTCATAATTGGCGTGCGTCATAAGAAATCTTGTAGACTCAAAGTTTTACTCATTCAGTTTTTCCGAGTAGCGTCATCGGTCATATTTTTGCTTGTGTATATTTTCGCCTCTGTGTTTTTTTACCTACACTAAGTGTGTCTACAAAGCGAAAAATTCAAATATGTTTAAGTGTCCATGACTTTTTGAAGACGCGCATTGAGGCGTTTTGGTTCTTTTCTTTGACTTTTTTCAATTGTGAGAGCTTGTGTATTTGTAACCGAGTTTAATACTTTTTCCCAAATAATTGTTAGTTCATATTTAGCAGAAATTGTTTATGCTGTTTTTACCTTTGAGCTAAGTAAGGGTGTTGCAACCGGGTACTATACTTTATTTTTCCCCGTAAATATTTTTGCTCCCACGATTTCGCTTCTAGAAATGGTACACATGTTTCAATTTACTCCACAATAAACTAAATTCAATTAGTCATCTGGCGTTAAGGTAATGTAACTAATGACGACAAAGGCTTATGGTTTTAATCCGGTCGGAACTATTTTTTTATGAGCTAGAATATTGTTGCCTTTTCAGACTATAGTCCGTCTGTTTTTTTTTCGTCGGCTTAGTTGCCGTAGTCCATTACTTTGAAAGGTTAAGCTTCCTTCCAATTTCCTGAATGGAGTTTCTAAAGCCCCATTGGTAAATGTTGGAAGAGATCTTTTGTGTGTATTTGTCTGATTCTTCTTTGTTGATTAATTTGCACGTATTTATTAAGCATGCGATTATTACACTTTTTTCCCGTAAACAATTTTTCTTACAAATTTTAAAGAAATTGTGAAGTTGCTTTATATGTGAACCTTAGCAAACTCGAGACTTCTTCCCACATGGCTTAGAGGTAACTCGGTTGTTTTTAACCCTAAGGTTGTGGGTTCGAGTCCCTGTCGGACCTTGTTTTGTTTTCTTTTCCGATGGAAATTATTTTTTTTCCGGGAAAATTTAATTGACGGAATTTCATTGGTCTGATTATGATTTGTCGGCTTAGCTGCCACATCGGGGATTCATGTTTTTTAAGCATTTTTTATCTTAGATGCAAGTGTTTCTGATAAGAAGTTTTGATATGTATATAGTTTTTTTTAATGAGAATACACGATCTGTTGGACCAACGTTTGTCTGCTTATTTTATGTCGGCTTTGTCCCCAGAATTGGCTGTTTTTCTGGAATTTAAAGAAATTTGAAGACGTTTAATATATATTTTGAAAGTTTTCCGTTTTTGAAGGATACTTTATGTTGTGTCATTTCATATTGGTACTTCGTATTGAGTTGATACTTTATATTGTCATTTGAAGGACAAAATTATTGACAAAATATCAAACTTTTTCTGCTTTGCAAGCTTGCTTCTGAAATTTTAATCATAAAAATTGGTCTTTTCATGCTCTTATCTTTTGACATAAAATAATTTCTGGGTGTCAATATGAGCATGGTTCTTTTTATTCCGACCATTGAAAATAGAGCTTAGTGATTGGCTGTTTTAGTTTTTTTTTCTGTTTTCGACGCAAATTCAGGCACCGCAAACAATTATTGCTGTAGGTTGAGTGATATATCATTTTAAAGCCTTTCAGCCGTGAGTCGAACGACATGAAGAAATATTGAAAAAAATAGTCCCAGTGTCGAGAAAAAGTTGGCTATTAAGGATAAGAAAACATGATTTCAGTAAAGAAAAACTAAATTTCAGCGCGCTTCTTTTAGTGTTTCTTGACATCAAAGTTTCCCAAAAAGATTTAGCGACCATAGTGCAAAGAAAAGATTTTTTTAAAATTTTTGCTGCGTGTTTTTTTGGTTATGCTTAATTGCTGCGTGTTTTCGTATGCTTCAATCAACAGTTTCGTATGCTTTATTTTTAGCTATCTATCCATTATATATTTAACGCCCGGCTTACTATCTCGCCTTGCTTAGGTTTTTTAGATTATTATTTTTTGCATATTGAACGAAGAATTTTTTACGTTTAAGGAATGATTTTTTCACATTTAAGCGTAAGATTTTGTTCGATTTTTTTTGTTTGAATACAGTGATTATTTCAACAAGTTGAAAATTAGTGATTCAATTGATGTATCATATCAGGGTTCTCCAGGGGTTGCGAATTTGTTCTCCAAATATGCGTAGCCATATCTTTATATATTACGAGATACGACGATTTTTGTGATTTTTTAAAAAGTTTTCAGAAAACGTGGACTAATAAAATTCCACAATGATTGAAATTCACAGCCCCATGGATTGGTACATTCAGGGTTATTTTGGAGTTTGCAAAACTTGCCTCCAAATGTGACTGCTCAAATGTTTTTTGTTTCCGAAATTTGACGTTTTTTAAGAGATTTTCAAAAGTTTTCAAAAAACATTTGAAAAATTTATAAAATTGGGAGTTCACATCCATGTAATTGGGTGTTGTTAGTTACTGTCAGAGATTGCATATCTTGCCTTCCAACGTGACTGCTCAGATTCTTTTAGTTTTCGAGATGTGACATTTTTGTATGATTTTTTTTTCAAAATTCTTAAAGACTTTAACTAATACAAAACTTCAAAAAGGTTGAAAATCCAATCATCTAGTGACGCACTGTCAGGATACTATCAGGCATTGCAAATTTTAACTCCTATTATGAATGCTCGAATCCTTTTAGTTTCTGAGAAATAGTGTTTTTTATGATTTTTAAATTATTTTCGGGAGACATTTAAAAATTTCAGTATTGAAAATTCACAGTTCTATTGCTGGATGCTTTCAGGGTAGTCTGAGGCGTTGGAAATCTTGCCCCAAATAGGACGGCTCAATTCCTTTTTGTGTCAAAGATACGACATTTTTCAATAAACTTTGCTTTGAGTTTTTCGACCCTGTAGTGGGTTGCTCTCAGATTACTCGCAGTGGTTGCAAATCTTGCCTCCAAATTTGACTTGATTTTCCAAGATATGACGTTTTTCTGGTTTTCCAATTAATGAATTGAAAAAAAAGATTGATTAAAAATTTTTATACAAAATTTGAAATTACCAACCCTGTAAATGGGCGCTGTCAGGGTACTCACAGAGGCTGCAGGTCTTGTTTCCATGTTTGACCGGATCATTTTTTTTGTTAGTTTTTCGGGCTCAAATTTAGTTTTTCGCGGTTTGATTTCCGATCCGCAGTAGTCCGCATGCCAATTTTTGAAACAATCCGATAATGTGAACTAAATTTTACTAGTAAAATTTTGCTGGTGGGGGAAAGGAAAAAGAGCCCACGCTAGTTTTTTTAATCAGTATATTTTTAAGTTAAATTAGACTTTTTGATACTAATTTTACGAGTTGGAATTTTGTTTCCGATGTCAAAAGAGCAGTTTTAAACAATTGCATTGTTCAAACTTCTGACCAAAAAATATTGGGGAGCGGTGGTGAAGTGGTTACGTCTTCTCCTCTCAATAGAAAGGTCGGATGTTCGAGGCCCACCATGATCCGTGCTCGTTGCTTGAGGGTGAAGCAACATTACCCAGCCCAGGAACATAACGAAAAAAAACTGCATGTAGTTCTTAAACAGGGGCACAACAGCTGTTCGCCGTGATGAGCTGTACAACTCGTGTGTTGGTCCTTTCCCCCGTGGATCAATGGTTTTAATCTTAAGAAATCTGGCAACAATTTCACAGCAACTAAAATATTGTCTAGGAAGCGCAGAAATGGCGTCCCTGGTGTTTCGAGGCATACGCAGATCATGTGGAACTTCTGCTGTCAGGGATAATCCAGAAGAACCAGGCAGATGGTGCTGGAGGAATGGCTCACAAGGAGGCTATTCAGAACCCTGCCCTGGTCTCCGCTTTCCAGGCCATCAAGAAGTGTGGAAAGAATGCGAGAACTCTAACCCTGTTGGCAATGGCTTTTGTAAACGAGCAGATGGCCAGCAAAGGTTAGTAGGTTTTTCAATTAATACATAAGACGAGTTATCCACACGGGAAAGGACCAACATACGAGCTGTTCAGCTCGTCACGGATAACCGCTGTTGTGTCCCTGGTTACGATTTACATGCATTTTTTTTGGCTATTTTTCTGGGCTGGGTAATATTGCCTCACCCTTAAGCAACGAGCATGGATCAGGGTGGGCCTCGATCATCCAACCTTTCGATTGAGAGGCGGAGACGAAACCACTTCACCACCGCTCCCTAAAACCACTTCACCACCGCTTCACATCAAAACATTGAAAAGCTTTTTACAGCAAAAATTCTGCTAGGCACTTTTCCCATACTTGTGTTGTAGAAAACTGCTGCGAACCCCGTTTTGATCCTTACCCCGTTTTGATTTTTTTCTAGAAAATATTTTATCCTTATGATCCATTATTGAGCGTTTGTTATTAAATGTCTTGGAGAAATAAAATCTTAATTTAAACTTTTTATAACTATTGATAGCCTGTATGTTGTCTTAAGTTGAGCATGAAAATTCTTCAACGATGAGTTTAGAATAAAAATAATTACTTCCTTTGGTGGCCATTTAAGAGGAAACTGAAGATCGATGAATGCTCCTTCCAATTATTGACCGTGTTGCCCCTAATCACTCCACATATAGATTGGTTAAAAACATTAATTCGAAAACGCCTAATTAAACAATTATTATTTTATTATCAATTCATCGTTGATTTAACTTATTTATTGAACAGCAGTGAAAAGAAAAATCAAATATTTAATTTTGATGACAGGAAACTGCCATTTAGTGTCAAACTTCCATATGGGCAAATGTCTTTATTTCGGGTACAAATCGGTTTCAAGTCATTTTGAAACGGAAATTTAGACGAAATCTTGTCTGTACAGCGTGTTTACTTGAAGTAGCAAATAAATTCAAGGGTCTATAAATGAATTATGAATGAATTAATTAAATAATGAAGTAAACTAATTACCCTACTTTTAACGAGCAATAAATTGAAAAGGTGCGCTATCTAATTGTAACTCACTATTATATGAACAGTTTTGATATGCATTTTCATGGGGTCTGCCTAAAAATTAGGCGAAAAGTTCAAAAAGATTGGACGAAAATCAGCCGCTCGCGGTAAAGATCAGAACAGCTCGAGTGATGGTCCTTTCCTTTGCCGATAATCGGTATTAAATCAAATTTTTCCTAAATTTAAAGCATTTTTTTTTGTAAAACAGAACATGGGAAAGCTTTCAGTCATGTTTTTTTTAAATGGCATGATGAAACTTACGTTGTACCCAGTCATTCATTGAGTATTAAAGGTTTCACGAGCAAATAGTTTAATGTTTTTTTCTTCGATAGACAAAGCATCTGTGACTATTGAAAAGGCACTGGAAATGGATCCCAAGTACACGCCGGCGATCTTATTAAAAGCGGATTTAATTCTATCCGAATCGAAGACAACATCTGGAGGAGTATCGGGTAATTCGAATGCCACAAGTGAAAACGCAGCGGTCGCGTGGCTGAAATCGAAGCTTGACACGTATCCAGAAAGTGCAATTGCAATCCACGAGAAGCTAGCCGCAATATGGGCAGGTCTGGACCAGAAAGACGAAGAACTGGTGCATAAAAACATAGTGATGTCACTTTCGAGATTGCCACATGACGGAAGTGATATATCTGGTATGTGTTATAGATCAACTATGAACATTCAGGGCGGATCTAGGATTTTCCCGAGGGGGGGGGATTTCAAAATTTTGTAAAAAATTTTGTCGACCTTTTTTTTTTAGGTCGACCAAATCGATTTTCTGAGCTCTCTTAAAGCACTACAAAGACACTGTTTTGGCCAAAATTTCTGCGCCGCAGGCAAAATTTTGAAAAAACGGGCCAAAAAAGGGGTTTTTAGGCACTTTTTGGAAAATGTTTACCAAAAAAGAAAATGTTTACCTAAGTTTACCAAAATATATACTAATTTTGAGGGGCTCCCCCCTCAAAATTAGTATATATTGGCGCCTTGAGAAAAATTTTAGGTCCGTCACCAAAAATGGATATCTCAAAATAGTACAAAGGGGGATCCTTTGGGTCGGCAGGGGGTCGAATCCCTGAGGGGGGGGGACGTCCGCCCCCCCCCCCCCCCCCCCCCCCTAAATCCGCCCCTGTGAACATTACAAAATACACTCTCTGTTACTCTGTTACGACCACTGTTAGCGAAGAGACTGTTTTGTATTGGACTGTTTTGTGTGGGACTGCTTTGTACAGACATGGAAGAAAAACTTTGAATTATGTTTTTTTTTCACGCGAACTCATTTAAGACAGACAAATGCCACGTAGGGGCGACTTAAATACCCTAATAAAAACCCAGTTGGCATGATTCGAACTGCGGTGTAAAGTTTTGCTTTTGAGACCAATTTGAACGAACAGTTGATGAATTGGGTCTGTTAACTGGGTCTATATTTCTGAATTATTACATTATACATTAGTGAAGTGCTAATCAGTGTCATAAAACTTAAATTACCAACCCAAAGCCACCAACAAAAATTTTTTATTTTTTTAAAACTTTTTTTTGCTAAGATTACTGTGACCAGTACATTCTGCGCTACTTACCGATCAACCGGCTATTTTTAATTTGTTATCTGTTAAAAATCGATTATTGTGAAGATAAATAGAATATTTTATATTTTACTTTAAGATATTTAACTTCTGCTCATTGAAGTTTTCGGCTGAAAAAGCAGAAATATTCTGAAGGTAAACTTGAATTCTGAGTATGTTCAATTTGTTATCACTGCAGGTAGTGGATTTGGATCTCTGACATCCAGAATAGAAGACGATTTCTCGGCACTGGATTCAGTTGGACCAGGATACTCTAATTTTGCTATGGACATGGAGACGACTTCTGGTCTCTCGGGCCGAGGAACAGGTGGAGGAAACGGATGGCACGCCACGCTCACTGTCGGAGCGGCGGCTGCTAATGACTCTGATATATCTTTTGATTAGAGTACAAATTTAAAACTAAATTGAAAACTGCGAGAGAAAATGGGAAATATGATCAGTATTGATGAATAGTAGTTGGTTAAATTGAATCAAGAAAATCATTTTATCTATAGCTGAGAATGGGAAGGAAGATTTTCCTTGTTTTTTCATTTGCTTACGTCAGCTATTTCTTATGTTTCTAAGTGTCAATGAGCTAAGTGAAGACACTTTTTTAGGTCGCGATGATGACCGCTTTACACTTGCGATCAGCTTAGTGTGTTATTACGAACCTTCTATTTTTTCTAACCTAACTCGCAAATAAAAAAGTTCATTAAAAGTGTTCACTTGTTTGGAAGTTTCACTAGCATGGACATTGCATAGCATCTGTTCTCAGCTTTTCTTGTGGCTAGGATTGCAGGTTCGAACTTCAGAAGTAAACGAATTTTTGCTAATTCGAGGCTTTTTCTAATTTTTATTATTGAACTGAGTAGAGCTGCTTTTTGTCGTTTTATCGCAAATGTTTGCGAAGCGAAGCCTCTGTGTCGATTTTGCACTTAGGTATATATGCTCTTTTTGAGTTCAATTCCAATTCATCTGCGAAAAGTTTGTTATTTTGCGGAAATGGGGCAAAAAAACGTCAATTACTTCAAGTTTTGTTAGTGGATTTCAATTTGAAAATTTTCCAGCTGAACAAAATTATTCATAGATCCAGTTTTCTTAAATTACGTTCTTTTTTTAAAAAAAAATGGTAATTAGGCTTGCGAATAGCATAGGTCATCAAATCGGATTATAGACTTTTCGGATAATCTTGTTTAACAGAATCCTTTGTATGTTGGTTCATAATTAATTCAAATTTGTTTGCGTCTTCGGTACGTTTGGTCTGGAGAAAACGAATACGCCTGGGACGGCAAAGGCCTCGGGTTCGAACCTGATAAGATATATTTTTTTCAAACGTGAAATATCCAAAAAATTGTCGGCTTATTATTGTCTGCTTATGTTTTGTCTGCTTAGTTGCCACATCATAGAATAGTTTTTTTTGTTGTTCGCAAGTTTTATTGTAGTTGCTATAGATGTTTTGAATTTTTCTGCTGATTGTAATTTTAGTAAACTTGACTTCGTAATTTTTATCGCTATAAAACTTTATTGTAACCAAATGATTTCGGCTTATATTTGATGGGCTTAGAGTCCCAATTTTGAAATGTTTCAATGGAAACATAATTTCTACGAGCCTCTCTAGAATGCACAAAAAATGTTAAAAATCTTAATAGCGAATTTTTGTTGATTTGGGAAGTTCTTTTTTGAAATTTTTATTATTCAGACAGCGCAATTGAATTTCCTAAATTAAATTTTGACGCTGAATTGCAGGTTCAAACATGGTTTTAGCTTAATGAATTACCTGCACAGTGAAAATATAAGGCTTTGATCCAGTTTTCTTAAGTTTAGATGCGTTTTATCATGAGACGTTTTATTCAAGAAAGAGTATCGAGACCCAATTGTTTTTGAGGGATTGTTTTATGAAATCAAAGCTTCCTTGTTTTCATGAATTCATTGACTTTTTTCCGGGTGTCTCGGCGATGCTTCAGTTTGTGTTCGAGCGCGTCACGTAAGTAACATGATTGAACTAAGGATTAGCTTTTTTCGCACTATTTTAGGTAAAATATTTTTTATCAATTTGTTGAATATAAATTTAATTTGTTATTTGAATCTATTGCCATTTGCGCTGGAACGGTCTGCTTTTTTTTCCATTTCAATTCGTTTTTTTTTGCTTCAGAAAAGTTAAGATGTCAATGAACCAAATTTAAAAGTCAGATTTTAAGCTCAGTTGTATTTAAATTTATCTTTACTATATTTAAATGCGTGTGACATGTTTTAGCGTTTTTTTTTGCAACAGTTAAGGGCATAACGTATCTATGCGTGGTTAAGCTATATCGTATACTGCAATGACTTAGAGTTTTTTCGACTTTCCAGTTTGAGTATAGTGTTTGTTCCACCAAGTTAAAAGTTAGTAACACAACAGGGGTTGCGAAGTTGTTCTCCAATTACGACGATTTTTGTCATTTTCTAAAATTTCGGGAAACTCATTTTACAAAATTTGAAAATCCCAACCCTGTAGTTGGGTGCTGTTAGATTGTTCTCAAGCATTGTGAATCTTGCCTCCAAATATGACTGCTCGAATCCTTGTAGTTTTTGAGTTTGAATTTAAAATTCCTAGTCTTGGAGTTGGGTACCGTAACGGTATTCTCAGATTTTGAACATCCAAATCTTGCGTCCAAATGCGGCTATTCAAATGCTCTTAGTTTTCGAGATGTGACGTTTTTTGTGATTTTTCAAGAAACTCAGAAAAATTAAATTCATTGTTTTTTTTTAATTTTGAAATTCCTCGCTCTTTACTTGGAGGCTGTCAGAGAAATCTCGGGGCTTGCAATTCTCGCCTCTAAATATGCATTCTCAAAACTTTTTGGTTTTCGAAATATGACGTTTTTCGTGATTTTTTAAAAAAGTTTTCTGCAATTTTTTTTTTCATATTTTAATTAAAGTATGAAGCCCCATTCCTTGTACTGGGGGCTGTCAGAGTGTTTTCAGGGGTTGCAAATTTTTCCACCAAATATGACTGCTCATATCTTTGTAGTTTTTCGAGATATGACATTGTTTGCGATTTTTTCAGAAAACTTGAATTTATTTTTTTTCTTCAAATTTTGAAATTCCCGACTGGTTAGTTAGAAGCTGCTAGAGTACTCGAAGGGGTTAGGAGTTTTCGCCTCCACATATGACTACATATTTGGAAATTTATTGGGCTGTGATATCAGGAAAAGTAAATTTTTTTATTAGAAATACGAGTGGGCATCAATTATCAACAGTAAAAATTTTTTTAAAAGTTTGAGTTAGAGATAACTTTCCAGCGGTCTGTTCGCTCAGTTTTGGGAGGACGAAGAATTTATAAATTAAATACCAAATTGGAAGATTTTTTTTCAAAACTTCGGAAGTTTTCCATATTTTAAAACTTCTCAATTTTATTATGTTCAAAATAAGATATTCACCCTTGATTCTGAACTTAGCAACTTTTTTCTACTGACTACGGCCACCTGCTTAACACTGAGTAATGATTTGTACGTAAAATATTCGATTTTGCCTAAGTTGACTTTGAAATCTACTCCTTGATATATATATATATATATATTTTTTCAACGCTGTGAAACTTTTTCATAGCTAAAGAATTAATGCCTAGAATCAATATTTTTGGGTCCATTTTCAGCTATTTGAATCAAATTGTAACAAAAATTCCGCGGCTTCATTTGGAATGACTTCGTCACTAGATTGACCAGAGAGATCATTTTGACTTGCTTAAGAAATTTCTCAAAAAAGTGTTGATTTATTTGCAGTTGAAAGCACAAATAAACCACAAAATCTCATGCCTTGCTTGTTTGCGGTAATTGACTTAATAAGGCTCGAAGGTTGTTTCACTGACTTTTTGATTTAATTTATTTCGAATTTCTCAGACTTAATAAGTAAGAAATAGTCGCAACGTATTAAGATGATATAATAGATTTAAAATATTGGACTGTGATATCATTTTGATTTTGAACAAGGAAATTTAAGTTGATTTGATATTTTTTTTTCAGGTGCGGCGATAAGTCTTTGATCAAAATAATGGTTATTTGATCTCTTTGGGTTTTTTTCAGAGTTTTCGAAGAAATGGGGAGAGAACTGCTTTAAATGGTTGAATTTCTTTAAATGTAAGGTAGATTTGCTTAAAAAAGTATTTAAAAAAATCATAGAGTAGATGGGAACACAAGGTAAGATAGCATAGGTTTAAAATAAATAGGTTAGAATAAATAAGTGTCAAGGATTTCAATATGCATATGCTGATTGAGTTTTTGTTTGAAAAGTCAAGCCATTCCCTACGCATTTTCTTCATAGGGTTCAAACACATTGTATTGGCATACAATTTTTTAAACCAAATGTAACAGCTTTTTTTCAGGCTCCGCAAGGCATTCAGCTCAATTTACGGCCGGTTCGTTTTCCAATAAATGCCCTCTATTTGTGTAAAAAAGATAATTTTTTGGAAAATACAAATGGCAGCCAAATGTATACATGTCTTACAATTGGATAAATATTCTTTTTAATTACGGGTCAACGTACACAAACTTTTAACACCAATAATTACCCTTTGAAACTGATGTTTATATGGGGTCGGAGTTGTATAAACGGGAACGGGGAGGGGACGAGGTCGAAAAAATTGATGGTATCAGTCTCTTAAATTGTTTTTGAACTAGTTCAGTTTTCTGAGGAAAAGAATTGTTTTGGTTACCGAAACGTGAAAGTTGACCGTGAAGACTTTTTTGGTTCTTTTTTTCTATCTACAAGGTGTTTTTTTAATCTTCAAAGAAACTTTAGATCCGCATACAGGGGACAACAGCTTCCGTCAAAAAAATTCTGGGTATATGATCCATTATTAATACCGCAGTTTAATGATATTTAAGTAAACTCTTTCTATGTTCAAAGGTAACTTTGAAGTCTGCGATTTGTACGATTTTTTTGTTTAAAAAACTGTCAGCCTCAAAACATGTCCCGTAAAACATTTTCGGACATACAGATCTGTTTTTAAGGCCACCATCTTAAGATCTTTAAGCAAGCTCATTGTATATTAAAAAGTATACATGATTAACATGCTTCACAACTTCAAACAACTTGAGAACAGTTTCCGCCTAAAGATTTGATGACATACGAATCCATTATTAATATGACCATCTTAGGTTCGCAATATGGCCATCGCAAGCTCATAGTATAATTGGGGTGCGTTCAATTAACCGTAGTGTCTAAATTATCAAATCAATAAGTCGAATAATTATTTTTTTTGTTTTGCTTTCAAATATTTAAAGATTGATCTTCCGGATGTGCAATATTGTTTTTAAAAGTGATCTGCTGACGACAACACTTTTTTCCAGTTTTTGTAAAAAAAATTCATCATTTTAAAATCCGAGTCTCAACTTCATTGTTGATTATGAAGTTGAATGATACAATTATTACCGATACAGCGGTTTTCTGGCCGGTAAACCGTAGTTTAAAAGCTAGTTTTCTAATCTGACTATTTACGACCTTTGATGGAAAAATGTTCAACTTCAAAGAAAGTTGATAAAGACGACAATCTCCGAAGTACCGTTTCCGCTTCAAAATTTCTGGACGTTCGGATTCATAATTAATATCGCCATCTTAGATTACTTAAGCAATCTCATCGTCGAAGGTAAGTTGATAGCCTTGTGATAGTAAATTAGTTCACTTGTCTTAAGCTGGAAAAATGCTCTTGCGCTTAGCCGAGCTAGGGTTGTCATCGGGCGGATTTAGAGAGGGGCGAGGGGGCGTATGGGCGAGGGGGCGTATTTGAATCAAATTGTAACAAAAATTCCGCGGCTTCATTTGGAATGACTTCGTCACTAGATTGACCAGAGAGATCATTTTGACTTGCTTAAGAAATTTCTCAAAAAAGTGTTGATTTATTTGCAGTTGAAAGCACAAATAAACCACAAAATCTCATGCCTTGCTTGTTTGCGGTAATTGACTTAATAAGGCTCGAAGGTTGTTTCACTGACTTTTTGATTTAATTTATTTCGAATTTCTCAGACTTAATAAGTAAGAAATAGTCGCAACGTATTAAGATGATATAATAGATTTAAAATATTGGACTGTGATATCATTTTGATTTTGAACAAGGAAATTTAAGTTGATTTGATTTTTTTTTTCAGGTGCGGCGATAAGTCTTTGATCAAAATAATGGTTATTTGATCTCTTTGGGTTTTTTTCAGAGTTTTCGAAGAAATGGGGAGAGAACTGCTTTAAATGGTTGAATTTCTTTAAATGTAAGGTAGATTTGCTTAAAAAAGTATTTAAAAAAATCATAGAGTAGATGGGAACACAAGGTAAGATAGCATAGGTTTAAAATAAATAGGTTAGAATAAATAAGTGTCAAGGATTTCAATATGCATATGCTGATTGAGTTTTTGTTTGAAAAGTCAAGCCATTCCCTACGCATTTTCTTCATAGGGTTCAAACACATTGTATTGGCATACAATTTTTTAAACCAAATGTAACAGCTTTTTTTCAGGCTCCGCAAGGCATTCAGCTCAATTTACGGCCGGTTCGTTTTCCAATAAATGCCCTCTATTTGTGTAAAAAAGATAATTTTTTGGAAAATACAAATGGCAGCCAAATGTATACATGTCTTACAATTGGATAAATATTCTTTTTAATTACGGGTCAACGTACACAAACTTTTAACACCAATAATTACCCTTTGAAACTGATGTTTATATGGGGTCGGAGTTGTATAAACGGGAACGGGGAGGGGACGAGGTCGAAAAAATTGATGGTATCAGTCTCTTAAATTGTTTTTGAACTAGTTCAGTTTTCTGAGGAAAAGAATTGTTTTGGTTACCGAAACGTGAAAGTTGACCGTGAAGACTTTTTTGGTTCTTTTTTTCTATCTACAAGGTGTTTTTTTAATCTTCAAAGAAACTTTAGATCCGCATACAGGGGACAACAGCTTCCGTCAAAAAAATTCTGGGTATATGATCCATTATTAATACCGCAGTTTAATGATATTTAAGTAAACTCTTTCTATGTTCAAAGGTAACTTTGAAGTCTGCGATTTGTACGATTTTTTTGTTTAAAAAACTGTCAGCCTCAAAACATGTCCCGTAAAACATTTTCGGACATACAGATCTGTTTTTAAGGCCACCATCTTAAGATCTTTAAGCAAGCTCATTGTATATTAAAAAGTATACATGATTAACATGCTTCACAACTTCAAACAACTTGAGAACAGTTTCCGCCTAAAGATTTGATGACATACGAATCCATTATTAATATGACCATCTTAGGTTCGCAATATGGCCATCGCAAGCTCATAGTATAATTGGGGTGCGTTCAATTAACCGTAGTGTCTAAATTATCAAATCAATAAGTCGAATAATTATTTTTTTTGTTTTGCTTTCAAATATTTAAAGATTGATCTTCCGGATGTGCAATATTGTTTTTAAAAGTGATCTGCTGACGACAACACTTTTTTCCAGTTTTTGTAAAAAAAATTCATCATTTTAAAATCCGAGTCTCAACTTCATTGTTGATTATGAAGTTGAATGATACAATTATTACCGATACAGCGGTTTTCTGGCCGGTAAACCGTAGTTTAAAAGCTAGTTTTCTAATCTGACTATTTACGACCTTTGATGGAAAAATGTTCAACTTCAAAGAAAGTTGATAAAGACGACAATCTCCGAAGTACCGTTTCCGCTTCAAAATTTCTGGACGTTCGGATTCATAATTAATATCGCCATCTTAGATTACTTAAGCAATCTCATCGTCGAAGGTAAGTTGATAGCCTTGTGATAGTAAATTAGTTCACTTGTCTTAAGCTGGAAAAATGCTCTTGCGCTTAGCCGAGCTAGGGTTGTCATCGGGCGGATTTAGAGAGGGGCGAGGGGGCGTATGTCCACCCTCGGGAATTCGACCCCCTGCCGACTCAAAGGATTCCACCTTTGGTACTATTTTCATGCTTCAATTTTGACTGACCGACCTTCAAAATTTTTTGAAACACTACGCGTTATTATATATTGAATTTATAGGGAGAGCGCGCCAAAAAAGTGGCAATTTTTTGGTACAAAAAGTACTCACAAAAATTTTTTTGTGGCCTGTTGTTTCAAAAAAATTGTATAGTGATGTGCGAGAGCCCAGAAAATCAAGTATATCCAGGGGGGATTTAGGGGGAGGTGGCAGACGCCCCCCCTCAAGGATTCGACCCTATATCAACCCAAAGGGTCCCATCTTTGTACTATTTTGACATATCCATATTTGGCGACGGACCCTAAAATTTTTTTAAAGGCGCCTTTGGCGCCAATATATACTAATTTTGAGGGAGGGCGGGGGGGGGGGGGGCACCAGCCAAAAAAACTCGGCGCAGAAAATTTGACCGAAACAGGGGGTCTTTTTAGTGACTTAGGAGAGCTAAAAAAAGGTCGAAAAAATTTTAAATTTTTTTGAAAAGTCCGCCCCTCCCCTCGAGAAAATTCTAGATCCGCCCCTGAGTATATCCTCGAGTAAATCCTAGATCCGGCCCTAATTTTAACTTGAATAAAACACCGCTTCCATTTTCTAATAGAATTACTTTTTCGGTAAAAGAGCGAGTAAAGGCTGGCTGTTTTTTTCATAGTTGTGCCAGATTTTGAAAAACAGCAACTTAGCCTTTAATTGGTTCAAGTTCTTTCTTAGTTATATTTTGAAAATATTCTATTTCAAGAGCACTTGGAAACAGCGTTTTATACGGAAGTTCTCAATTGGGGCTGCTGATTTTTTGAGAGAATAAATTATCTCAATCAAATTGATTTGCTATTAAACTTCGGAAAAACTGAACTTTGTGGTTAAAAAATTTTAATTCGAGCAAATTTTAAGAAAATTTTTTAGAGATGAACTTTTATGTTTTGCAAAAATAAGGGCAAAAAATTGAAAACTGTTTGCCAAGAATTATAAGTCTTCTCATAGATCAGTTATGCCTTTCAGGAAAAATCAAACGGATTTTTATCTTAAATGAAAAATCTCTTATGGGAAAACATCAAACACTTTTTCAATGACAACTTTTAAAAGTTTGCCGATAAAATCGAGTGAAACTAAAAGACGCCTGCCCGTTTGATAATCTTTTCATCACTTTGTCTGTGAAGTGTTCAGTAGAAAAAAAAAACGGTTTATTTTGAATTCATTGTTCCCTTTTGATCCAAATTTATGGCTCAAATTGAATTATGACACCGTAGTCAAATTTATCGTTGATGGCCTCTGATTTAAGTTATCCTTGAAAATGATTTTGGTCAGATAATCTGATGATGAAAGAGACATGTTTAGTTTCGCTTATAACCAAAAAAAAAACGAATCAAGCACCATCAAATTGATCTGGACGTTTAGTTTTGTGGAGAAAGTGATAAAACTGCGTATTCTGGACATACTGCCAACACAGGTCTTCAATACTTCTAGAAATTATTCAACAGGTAAGTAATCTAAACAGTGAATAAACTAGGCGAAAAACGATAACTCATGTATCTTGAAATAAGCTTAATTTTTGTAAGATTACTAAGAGTAATGAACGTAGCGAAGACTCTCATATAGGTCTTACTGATTTTTTGATTGTCAGAAACAGCCTTAAAAAAGCTGTAATAACTGCAGATGTGCATTTATACATATTGATGCATTTGTGAATGCACAAATGTATATATGCACTTTTTGAGTTCACTTAAAATTCATATGCTGGAAGTGACGTAAAAATCATTCTCCAAAAACGAGCGTAGATTGGCGCGGAAAAACGTGAACATTTCATGTTAGCAAAAAAGCGCAAATCATAAATTGTTCTAGAAATTCAAAGCGCTTAAAGGGCATCTATTTTTTCTTTGAAAATAAGTCAGTGTTTTTTTTATGTTTACTTGCGTTCACTACTCTTCCAATCTTCGATTGGCTATGTTCGTCAAATAACCGATAGATGATTAATATGAAAGTACTCAGCATTTTTGGCTGCTTTTTGATTTAAATTATCCGGGAAAAACTTATGCATTTTGAAAATTAAAACGGGTTTTTCACTAATTGAGTCGATTTTAAACAAAACATGCTAAGGACAAAACTAGCTTGAATTTTTTACCAGAAATTTTATGTTGCAATTGGTTTTGCGAAATTTGGGCCCAAATCTTTAGCCTAAAAAAAATCACTTTAGACTTTTTAGTCACATAAAAATTACCGCAAAACTACGAAATCAATTACTGTTAAAACTACATTAAAATGAGCATCTTACATGGCTCAACAAAATTTTAGAAAGATATGGTGTACAAAAAATTTGCGCGAAACGTTCAAAAATGTTTTCAAAATAAAATATTGGCTATTTATATAGTAAAAATGATTTTTCTGGCTATCCACCGAAAATAAATTATATTTTACAATGTTTTTACCCTTCTTAAACTCTCTTGAGCCACGTAAGAGGCTCAATTTGATATGACTCTGACCGTAATTGATTTCTCTTTTTTGGTATAATTTTTAATTGACTAAAAAGTCTAAAGTGATCCTTTTTAAGAGTAAAATTTTAGGCCCTAAATTCGCAAAACAAATTGCACCATGATACTTCTATTAAAAATCCAAGGAAGTGTTGTCGTCATCATTTTTCATCTAAAATCAACCCAATTAGAGGAAAACGTGGTTGAAGTTTCAAGTTTTAGGCGTTTTGTCCGGACAATTCAAATCAGCACTGTATATTTTGACTGGTTTAAATACCACTATTTCACTTCCGTTTGACAAAATCAAGTTGATTTTTTTGAAAACTATTTTCGAAGAAACTGAAGATGGAATTGAAGCAGTTAAAACAACCGAAATACGTTTTTGACAAAAATTCGGATTGACATTATGTAATGGTGAGCATAACTTGGCCTATATTCTCAATGTCACCCTCAGCTAACCAAGTGGAAGATCACACCCTAAAACTAATTGGTAAGTTATAGCATAGGCCAACATATAAAATGCTGATTTGTTGTGTTTGGCAGCAAACCAGTAGAAAAAACCCAGTCTTGAAAACGAGAAGAAATAAACACTCGAATTGTCATAAACACTCCTTAACTTCCGTGGAAATTGAAATATCATATTTTACGCAGATTGTCACTTTGGTTTTAAGCCTATAACGCACATATTTTCTTGATATCTTTTGTTTCTGCAAATATTTGATTAAAAATGGTTTTTTGACGCTTTTTCAAATTATAGAAAATTAGATTTTCACCCGAGATATTTTGGGTGTTTAAGAGAGCCGAAGTGCAAGGGTACCAAAAACAATTAAATGTATTACTTTGTCGGAAAAAAAACAATTTTTTTGGCTCATTTGTACTTCGCAAACTTTGCGCTGAGCCAGATAAGTCTGCAGGGGCGGATCTAAGATTTTCTCGATGGGGACTTTTTTTGATAATTTTATCGACCTTTTTTTGGTTGACCAAATGGCTTTTCCTGGGAACCCAGCATACTACAAAGACACTATTTTGACAAAATTTATAGCGACAAATTTATTTTGACAAAATTTAAAGACGTACTTACGCTTTTTTTGGATAACTTTGACCAAAAAAGGCATTTTTTTTGGCGCGTGCTCCCCTTTCAAAATCAGAACATATTGGCGACTTTGTCACTTTGTTCGAAAGTCGGAACAACGATGTATGGACATCTTGGACAGATCAGTCTTGAATATAAAATTAATGATTCATTTTTTGTTCCTCTTTCATGTCACCCATATAACTTTCCGAGATTAAGTCTTTAGAAATTTGCAGGCTGAGCATATAATTTAGGTAAAAGGAAAATTAGTATCAATAATGCGAGCATTGAGATGTTGGAATTTCTATATTTTTTCTGTTTTAGTCGTTTGCCCGACCAACTCAGGTGAAGAACAAATGAACATCCCAATGAAACACTTTATAAGCATGTTGGTGACGGTGATGTTGTTCACACTCAATATGGTGCAATGTTGTCTAGACTTTGATCACGAAGGTAACCGATGGTCAATCAACATTGGATGATACTCTACGTTGATTGAAACTTCATAAGCGTGAACAAGGGCTATTGTTGGATGTGCAAGTAGTACTGAACGTTACGAATACGAATATGGCAATCATTGATTTAGGAATTTAAACACTTAAAGAAATAAATATTTGTTTTTTTTTCTCTCAAAATTTGAGCTGTTTTCTGAACAAATAATAATGAATTCAAACTACCACCAAACCAGATAAAATTTGCCTGAATTTAGAAAATGGAAATACTCAGACACCAACATTTCTTTTGTAAAAAAAAAATTTTTTGAAATCGAAATCACGACTGAAAGAACTTTAATATGATGTTTTGCGTAAAAACTCAATATCCGAGTTTTTTCACAACCTAAGAACTGGTCGGCACAAAAAATTATTTTAACAGAAGTAGCCGGGTGCTGTGCAAGTAGCACATAGAAATTCGACCCCATTCATACAATTTTGTGCCAAATTTGTGCCGTTCTTTGGGCGTGTTGTGGTGTGACGAGATGAATTAGACAAAAACTCAAATTATTAGTAAAATGAGCATGAGCAACAGCAGATGTCTTGAAAAAATGAATAACAAAAATTTGTCAAAAAAATTTCTGAAACTTTTTTAACGCCAAAGAGTCGCTAAGAACTTTTTTTCGCGTTTTCTGAAAACTTTTTACCGTTTTTAAAAAATAGTTAAATGAAGCTTCTATTAATAACTAGTTTAGAAATAAAATTCAAATAACAATTGACTTTAGGGTAAAATTAGGTTTACTCGGTTTAAGTAAAAGTTTTTTTTTCAAAAAACACCTGCTTCCTTGATTTACTCGCTCGAAGGGTCTTGAAAAAATTTAAGCCGTTTTTCTGAGAAAATTTTGGTAAGTTTATGACTGCATTCAAACCATAGCAAAAAATTTAAAATTATTGATAAATGGATATCTGATTTTTTGTTTAAAAAACTAGAACAAAAAACAAACGCACAA